ATGATTCCATTTGTGGGAGGTGCCTACAGTAGTCAAATTCGTAGAGACAGAAAGTAGAATGGTGGTTGCTAGGGACAGAGGGAGGAGGGAGCAGGAAGTTCTTGTTTAATGTGTACAGAGTTTCTGTTTGATATGATTTTGAAAGTTCTAGAGATGGATGCTGGTGATGGTTGCACAACAATGTGAATGTACTTATGGCACAGAACTGTTCATTTAAAAAATGGTTTTAATGGTAAATTTTATGTTAAATATTCAACCACAATTAAAAAAAACACTGTTAGGAACTATTATCCATATAACTTAAAATATTATCTGAATTGTAATATACTATGTCTCATGTGAAACAGATAACGAGACATAAAGCACAGACGGCCCCAAGGTACTAAGAAATCCCTGCTCACAAATCACAACATTGAATGTAATTTGCATGGCATGGTTATCTGTTTTGTTTTGTTTTGTTTTTGAGATGGAGTTTCACGCTTGTCACCCAGGCTGGAGTGCAATGGTGCGCTCTCGGCTCACTGCAACCTCCGCCTCCCAGGTTCAAGTGGGCAGATCACCTGAGGACAGGAGTTCGAGACCAGCATGGAGAGTTCTGACCAACATGGAGAAATCCCGTCTCTACTAAAAATACAAAATTAGCTGGGCATGGTGGTGCATGCCTGTAATCCCAGCTGCTTGGGAGGCTGAGGCAGGAGAATTGCTTGAACCCGCGAGGCAGAAGTAATGTGAAGCTGAGATCGCACCATTGCACTTCAGCCTGGGCAACAAGAGCAAAACTCCGTCTCAAAATAATAATAATAATAAAAGAAAAGAACATTGCATTTAGGCTTTTCTTTTGCAACCCTGATAATACTACAATACAGCAGACTGGAGCCAAAAGGGAAGCAAGCAGTGGGGCTCCGTTGTGCTAGAAAGTTACCCCAAAACAGAAGCACCTGTTATCCAACTAATGTGTGATGCAACCCTGCTTGGCCAGGGAGTTACAGAGCTACAGCAGCTGTCCAGGGCCTGCGTATTCAGATACTTGGTTTATCCAGATCATTTTGCTGTGCAGACTTTCTTTTTGTGAAATAGTACATGTCTGCACAAAACCTTAAGACAATGGTGAACACTTTTTTAAATAGGAAAGCTGATCCTTATTTTGAAACATTTTCATAATTTTGTCTTATTTTTTACCAAGATGCTACGATCACTCTTTCCTTGTGAGTAAATGGTTAGTTATTTATTTGAGACAGAGTCTCACTCTGTCGCCCAGACTGCAGTGCAGTGGCACAATCTCCGCTCACTGCAACCTCTACCTCCCAGGTTCAAGTGATTCTCCTGCCTCAGCCTCCCGAGTAGCTGGGATTACAGGTGCACACCACCACACCCAGTTAATATTTGTATTATTAGTAGAGACGGGGTTTCACCACGTTGGCCAGGCTGTGGTTGTTATTTAATATGTAATATTAGGAACTCCATAAACTAGCAACATTTCTCCAAGAAAGAGATACTCCAGCCTGGGTAACAAGAGCGAAACTCCGTCCCCCCAAAAAAAAAAAAAAAAAAAAAAGAAAAGAAATGGGGGCACAGCTGGGTGCAGTGGCTCACGCCTGTAATCCCAGCACTTTGGGAGACTGAGATGGGCAGATTGGCTGAGATCAGGAGTTCAAGACCAGCCTAGCCAATTAGGTACCCAATTTTCATGCAGTGTTTGAGGAAATATGCTAATTCCACTCATTTAAATGTCCAGTATTTCCTAATTAATCAAATCTTGTCATCACTTTGGGATGATGTGATTTCTGTGAGAGTATTCTTTCAGGCTCACCTTTGGCCTGCATTATGTGCTTTTAGGCCGCTGCGTTAAGAGTGTGTAGCAGGGAGCACACTTGGCGCATTTAGGCAGGTGCGTGTCCTAGCAGCCCAGCCCAGAAGGGGCATATGACTCCATCGGCAGGGTTCCAAATTCTTATTAGTGTTGTCTGCTTGCCAGGTGGTATACAACTGTGGGTAGAACTGACTTTTTCCTTTCACAATGCTGTTTTCCATCTGGCTTTTATTCTTTTTTTTTTTTTATCACAAAGTGTACTTCCAGAAAAAGGAATATTCATTAGCTATATCAAAATAGAAAGACCATCTTAAATCAACATTTAAAAAACTAGATTTCATTGACAAAATTCTAAAATAAATTTTGCATGTTTTTCTATATGCAAGTTACTTTTACATTCAAAGGAAGATTGACCTGTTTATATAGTGAATAAATTTACCTGTGGAATACTACCAATTTAAAAGTTCTGTCAAAAGGAGGCTTTCTCCCAATATTTTGTCATTTCTTTCTTTGTAGAATCCCTAGTTTTTAATGGATCTCTCCCCGTCCAGGAAAAGATTGTATCTCTCCACTTTCCTTGTAGTTTGACGTGGCCATGTCTGCCAACAGGACATAAGCAGGAGTGGTTCATGGAACTTTCAGGAAATGTCCTTAAAGGGAAAAGGCTCTTCTACATTTCTCCTTCTTTCTGGCTGCAGTGTGAATGTGAGAGCTGGAGCGTGAATACACACCTTGGACTATGAAGTGGAAGCCATGTGCTAAGGATGATAGAGCCAAAGATATGAGCCTGGTTTTCTGGCATTGTAGGACGGCGCGTCACCTCTACAGAGACTACTACCTCTCTGGAGGGGTGGTTTTTTTGTTTTGTTTTGCATTTTTGAGACAGAGTCTTGCTCTGTCACCAAGCCGGAGTGCAGTGGTGCTATCTCAGCTCACTGCAACCTCTGCCTCCCATGTTCAAGCGATTCCCCTGCCTCAGCCTCCTGAGTGGGACTACAGGTGCACACTACCACACCCCGCTAATTTTCTGTATTTTAGTAGAGAAGGGGGTTTGCCATGTTGGCCAGGATGGTCTCGATCTCCTGACCTCGTGATCTGCCTGCCTCGGCCCCCCAAAGTGCTCAAATTACAGCCGTGAGCCATGGCACCCAGCCTCTAGAGAGGTTTTTAATGTGAGTGAGAAAATAATCTGCTTTTTGATAAACACTGTAATTTTGCATTTACTGTTACTTGTAGCTAAGCTAATTTAAATGGGCAAACTCTCAAATATAGGAAGAAATGATCTCCTTTTGAAAATACACCAAACTAGCCTGGCATGTAGCTCACGCCTATAATCCCAGCACTCTGGGAGGCCGAAGCTGGTGGATCATCTGAGGTCAGGAGTTCAAGACTAGCCTGGCCAGCATGATGAAACCCTGTCTCTACTAAAAATACAAAAAAATTAGCTGGGTGGGGGCGGGTGGCGGGTGCCTGTAATCCTAGCTACTCGGGAGGCTGAGGCAGGAGAATCATTTGAACCCAAAAGGTGGAGGTGGCAGTGAGCTGAGATGGCGCCACTGCACTCCAGCGTGGGCAACAAGAATGAAACTCCATCTCAAAAAGAAAAGAAAAGAAAAGATACCATACTGACCATACTGTGATCCAAGTTATTTAGTTTGGCCTAATGTGGCATCTCCTTGAAGTAATTCAAATCTGAATGATGTTTCTATAGTAAAAAAATAATAACAATACAGCTCACTCCAATTTCTTTTTCTGAGGGCATGAGTACCTTGAATATGATGCTCACTCCTTTGAATGAATGGCATCTGGAAAAGTGGAAATAGGGTATCTAAAGTGAACTCAAACTTGCTTTGAAAAAAAGAGGCAAATTCAGCAATATTTTCAATGCTGTGTCTAATGCAGTTGTGAAAAAAAATCAGTATCATGGGTAATTTATGTTCTGATGAATTCAAAAGATTGGGTGTTGAATTAACAGTGAGTTTTGTGCTGAAGAGAATTGCTGCTGAAGTGTTGGCCGTGTTTTACTTCTTGACCTGTATGGTAATTGCATATATTTCTTTGTAATTATCAATTTAACTTATGTTTATGTACTTTTCTGCATTTCATCTCATAATAAAAAGGATTAAAGAAGTGAATTTTGTGATTTATTTTTAAAATATACCTTTTACTTTTAAAAACAATTATTTTAACAAGAATAAAGGCAAGTTACAAATTCATATTATTGTGAGTTTCTCAACCAAAAAGATATTGCTTTGCTTAACACATTTTTTAATCAAGTACATGTGACGTTTTAGTTGAAGCCATCCAGTAGTTTTAACTAAGGATAATCCAGAAAGTCATCAGGCTTTCTGTGTATAGCATCTTCTTGGCTAAACCCACTAATATATTGGATCTAGTTGAAATATAACCACCTCAAATCTTTTATAGAGCAAAGTTAGAAAAACTGGATGGATAAATCAACTTTTAAAAGTTGCAATTGGTACTAGGCTTAGTATCTAGGTGACAAAGTAATCTGTACACCAACCCCCTGTGACACAGTTTATCTGTATAACAAAACCTGCACATGTATCCCTGAACCTAAAAAAAAGTTAAAGGAAAAAAAAGTTGCAGTAAGGTTCTAAGACATCTTTTTAAAAGAAATATAACTGATAAAAAGTCCTACTCATAGCTTGATTAAATAAATAAATAAATAAATATATAAATGAATAATTGTTAAAAAGTGAATCTTCATTAGTGTGCCTGAGCAAGACACATTTTTTGAGCTTTAGTTTGTTCTATCTATAAAGGAGACATAATAACCCCTGCCCTCCTATCTCACAAAGTTGTAAAACACGGTGAGATGTGTCAAAGACCTTTGAACGAACACCTTACAAACGTGTTATTATTAACATACAGATTTGATTTACTATAGACATAGTCCAGCTCAATCCAAGTTATTCAAGGTTACATATCAGATCGGGTGCGGTGGCTCACGCCTGTAATCCCAGCACTTTGGAAGGCTGAGGAAAGCAGATCACCTGAGGTCAAGAGTTCAAGACCAGCCTGGTGAACATGGTGAAACCCCGTCTCTACTAAAAATACAAAATATTATCCTGGTGCGTGCCTGTAATCTCAGCTACTTGAGAGGCTGAGGCAGGAGAATTGCTTGAACCCAGGAGGCAAAGGTTGCAGTGAGCCGAGATTCTGCCATTGCACTACAGCCTAAGCAGCAAGAGCGAAACTCCACCTCAAAAAAAAAAAAAGTTATATATTAGTAGAGGGATTGTCTTAGTTGGGTTAAATAATCTGCTAGCTACTTTAGTAGGCAAACCTGACTTCTCAGTGAATTGACACAGGAAAGATTTCTTCTTCATTATATCATAGATGGATCTCTTTGGTAGCTCACTTTCAATTCTGGGGCTGAAGATACTTAACATTTTGCAACTCTGCCATCTTAAAGTTTTTTTTGCTTCCAGCACCACAGATGGGAAAGATAAAACTAGAGAACTCTTCACACCTGCCATTTAAAGGCTTGGGCTGAAAGTATCATGTGTCCTTCCCCTTATAATCCTCTGGCCAGAAGTATTTCTATAAAATCCCATCGTAACTATATGGGATTTTGTGAACACTGTCTCTCACATAGAGAGCTTAAAGGAAGCTATCTCATTTAAAGCAGAAGTTGGGTTAAATTTTTATTTTTAAAATGTACACCTTGTAGAACTGGTGCCAAAAAGCAGGAATTTTAAATTTTAAAGTTCATAGAATGACTAAGGTATCTGGGACTCTTGTGAAATTTTATACAAAAAGTTAGGCTTATTTTGTGATGTTAATTTTTCCGGAGGGAGGGTTCATAGCTTACTTTGAACTCAAAGAGGTGCTTAGAAAAAGTTAGGGACTGCTGATTTAAGGCAAGGGGAGAAAAACTATGGGATTGACTGTTGTCTTTTATATTTGATACTGGCTGCAGTTTACTTTCTACCTAATATAGATAACATGTGGAGGGTAGAGGTTCCACATAATGCATGGCTTAGTCACTATGCTAAGCATTTTTCAAATCTTATCTTTAATCTTCACATTGCCCTTGAAGGCAGAAATTCTTATCCCCTCTGTGCAAACAGGGAATCTGAGGAGCATACAGATCAGGCAAGATACCTCCGATCACACGATCACACGACTGGTAGAAGCAAGGAACTGGAACTTGAATTGACGACTGTTTAAATTCAAAACCTCCTTGTCTCATTGGGCCATTTAGGTTTTTATGACCCTCTATGGGCGAGACATAAAAGACAATATAGCCTGAGCATATTTATGATTTTTTTCTTCTGCAAGCTGAACAAACCAAACGTCAGGGTTTAACAGATGATACAGAAATTTCTGTTGTTGAACGGACGGACTACAACACTGATGAAGATTTGTTGTATGCCGAACTGGCTGCAAATAGGAAAAGACCAATTAGAAAAGAAAAAAAGTGAAAAATTTCTACCTGAGATTTCATATAGAGGCTGGGCATGGTGGCTCACACCTGTAATTCCAACACGGTGGGAGGCTGAGGCAGAAGGATCACTTGAGGTCAGGAGTTCAAGACCAGCCTGGGTAACATAAGACCCCATCTCTACGAATAATAATAATAAAAATAAAAACAGCTGGGCATGGTGGCACACACCTGCAGTCTCCTGCACTCAGGAGGCTGAGGTGAGAGAATTGCTTGAGCTGGGGAGGTTGAGGCTGTAGTGAGCAGTGATCAAGCCACTGCACTCCAGCCTCGGAGACAGAGTGAGACCCTGTGTCAAAAATAAATAAGTTTTTAAAATTTTTTATTTTATTTTATTATATTTTATTTATTTTTGAGACAGAATCTCACTCTGTCACCCAGGCTGGAGTGCACTGGTGCAATCTCTGCTCACTGCAACCTTCGCCTCCTGGGTGCGAGCGATTCTCCTGACTCAGCTTCCTGAATAGCTGGGACTACAGGCGTGGGCCACCAGGCCTGGAACATTTTTGTATTTTTAGTAGAAATGAGGTTTCACCATGTTGGCCAGGCTTGTCTGAAACGCCTAACCTCAGGTGATCTACCTGCCTTGGCCTCCCAAAGTGCTGAGATTGGAGGCGTGAGAAAATGCCCAGCCTAAATTGAAATTTTAGATAGACATCTAAAATAGAGAACTGGGAATATTTCCTTGTACCAATTTTGAAATAATTCTGTAAATAATTTTTACAGTAGTTGCATTTAGCTGGTGAGATCATTTGTGTTTCCTTTCTAAAGTTTTCTGAATTTTTGTTTTTTAAAAGTTATTTTATTTTTAAATGTTTATTTATTTATTTTTTTAATTTTGAGATGGAGTTTCACTATTGTTGCCCAGGCCGGAGTGCAATGGCATGATCTTGGCTCACTGCAACCTCCACCTCCCAGATTTAAGCGATTCTCCTCCCTCAGCCTCCCGAGTAGCTGGGATTATAGGCATGCACCACCACGCTTGGCTAATTTTGTATTTTTAGTAGAGATGGGGTTTCACCATGTTGGTCAGGCTGATCTCAAACTCCTGAAACCTCAGGTGATTCACCCACCTCAGCCTCCCAAAGTGCTGGGATTACAGGCATGAGCCACCGCGCCTGGCAGTTTTCTGAATTTTCTAAATTTTTACCATAAATGTAAAAATTGATTAAAAATATTACTTATTTCCATAAAGTCCAAAGAGCAGTTAAAGATCTACTCAGCTACTCTAGAGAGCACTGTGGAGCTGTCATCATACAGCATTTTTGGCAAATAAGACCAGGATACAAGTTTTTATCTTTATTTTTCGTAATTGAATCTGAAGTAGCATGAATTTGTAGTGAATTTGTAGTTCACTAGGATCTTTTAAGCAACAAAAAACCAAACAACAAAAATCAACTCTGGCTATATTGAGCAAACGGAATTTATTGGAAAAGCTTAGAGAATTCCTGGAAAGCTGAAAGGATCAAGCTTGGAGGAAGAACAGGAACCAAGTTGCTCTCACGGGTTAGGAAGCAAGTTCTCAGCAAAATTCATGCAGCAGTAACAATCCTTTGTCAACTCGTGTTTTCATAACTGTTTTGTTTTGTTTTCTTGAGATGGAGTCTGGTTCTGTAGCCCAGGCTGGAGTACAGTGGTACTCCGTCTGCCAGGTTCACGGGATTCTTTTGCCTCAGCTTCCCAAGTAGCTGGGATTGCAGGCATGCATCAGGATAATTTTTTGTAGTTTTAGTAGAGATGGGGTTTCACGATGCTGGCCAGCCTGGTCTCCAACTCCTGACCTCAAATGATCTGCCCACCTCGGCCTTCCAAAGAGCTGGGATTACAGGTGTGAGCCACTGCGCCCAGCCCACTATTTTCTTGCTAGCAAAATGCGGCGATCAGTTCTTTCCATGCACATGTATTCATTCCCCTTTGCAGTGTGATTTTGGAACACAGCCCATTAGGAGACTGAATCTATTTTTCCACTCCTTAAATCTGGACTTAGCCATGTGACTTGCTTTGGCCAATGGACATTAGCAAATACAGTGCAGGCTTGAAAAGTGCGGGTGCACAAGGGCTTGCCCTCTCTTGCTGCTGGGGACTCTGCTACTCCTACTAGTCTCAAAGGGGATGAAAGAGCACATAAAGAGAGCATCCAGCCATCCCAGTCAATCCAGCCTCTCCAGTTAAGGCCCATACTCCCAGAGTGACCCTCACTGACCCATGTGAGCAAAAACCACTCAAATTGCTGACCCACAGGATTGGGAGCAAATGATTGATCGCTGCTTTAAGCAACTACATTTTGGGGGTGATTTGTTACATAACAAAACATAAACTCTCGCATGTCCTCATTGTCTGAACTTTATGTGTCCAGTAGTGCCTAGAGACTTTGTTTAAAGTCCATAATTAGCACAATGTGAGCCTGTACATCTTCTTGTCTTGTCCATTTGGAATTGCTTATACCACTGAAAACAGTAAATTTTTAAGAAATATATCAGAATTCCATTCAATCAATGTTTTTGAAAATGAAGAAAAATACAGTCACAAAATTTTGTAAGAATCATTACCAGGCTTCTTCTTTATGTGTATAATTCTACATAAAAGAATCTTCTTGGCCAAGCGTGATGGCTCATGCCTGTAATCCCAGTACTTTGGGAGGCCAAGGCAGGCAGATAGCCTGAGGTCAGAAGTTCAAGACCAGCCTGGCCAACATGGTGAAACCCCATCTCTACTAAAAATACAAAAATTAGCCAGGTGTGGTGGCACATGCCCATAGTCCCAGCTACTCCAGAGGCTGAAGCAGGACAATTGCCCGAACCTGGGAGGCGGAGGTTGCAGTGAGCTGAGATTGTGCTACTACATTACACTACAGCCTGGGCATCAGAGTGAGACTCTGTCTCAAAAAAAAAAAAGGAATCTTCTTGGCCTGGAAGTCAATCAATTTAAAAGCCATTCAATTTTTCAGTTGAGAAAATAAACATGAAAAAATACAGATGATATTAAACGTGACGAGTTTAGGCGAAGACAGACCCAAGAACTGCAATAGATGTGACAATCAGTACAATAAAAATAGAATACAAAAGTCTCTGTCTCTCAGAGTTTTGAACACAAGAATGACAAAGAGCACTTATAACCCATTGTTTTATTTCCTCAAAAATTTTTTTTTGTTCTTTTGATACCGCACCAAGTATGTGAACCCATCATGTTTCATTTCTGTCAGAAAGCTTCTAAGTGTTCTTCGTCTACCCGTCACCTGCCTTTGCTGACAACAATGTGGGAGAGCTAGAATGCAAGACCAGATTTCATCACCTCCAAAGACTGCTTGTCTGCACCAGATCCAAGCACTGTTTATAATGGACATTTTGAAAAGATTCCCCAAATGAAGGGCCAAGTTGGTGGCTCAGGCCAGCACTTTGAGAGGCTGAGGCAAGAGGATTGTTTGAGGCCAAAACTTCAAGATCAGCCTGGGTAACAAAGTGAGACCCTGTCTCTAAAAATAAAAATAAATAATAAATGTTGACAAGTGTTCCCCAAATGAGAGATTTAGCAGAGTGAATTCTGCAAAGAAGGCCTCTTGCAAACACTCGTTCCTAAACAGTCAGCTCACTGGGGCAAGAGCCAACTCTCTTAATCTAGCTGATGTCAGTGTAACCGAAGGCCTATAAGTCGCGGTGAGATTCTGTCCACTAGCAGGTCTAGGGCATGGAGGTAAAGCTAGCTCATGATAAGGTGGCCTCATTTGGCAGCAAAGGCAAATTGAAGATTTCTTGATCCATAAATCAGTCTATAAAAAATAAGTAAGGCTTTCAACTGTCACTAGATTTTTTTTGCTGTTTGCAGGCATCCAACACTCATCTCGAATCAGTGTCTTGCAGAAACAGAAGAAAAGTAATAAATTAATTGTATTTTGAAATGAAAGCAGGAGTTATTTTGCTGCAGAGCTATAGCTTAACATTTTTAGCAAAATGTGGGTCCTTCTTCTCAGTTTTCCTTTAGGATGCTGTGACTACAATCCTCTGTTTGGTTAGTGGAATTGAGAGCAAGGCCCAGGTGGATGCTTGAGGACTAAACCCCAACCTTGCCTTGGATCACTCCACTGTTTCAGTTAAGATGAGACGGTAGTTAAATTACACAAATTGTTGTCTGCAGTAGCATGCGAATACATGTTTCAGATCTCCTAAAGCATAACTGATTTCCATCCCTAGCTGCTGGTGTACCCAGCATTGAGACCACGCTTCCTGAGGGCTGAGTATGACACGGTTACCAAGGAGGCCCATTCCTGGGAGGCAGGGCTCTTCTAATGGGCAACATAGGTTCACTGACTCCCTTTTGACCTTGCTGAAACTTTCTTAGAACTGCAAGGCAATCTATGGCCTGCCTGCCTTCCTTTCTTCCTCCCTCCCTACCTCCCTCCCTCCTTTTCTCGCTTCCTCTTTTCCTCTCCAGTTCCTTCCTTTCTTTCTTCTCTCCCTTCTCCTCCCTCCTTTTCGTTCTCTCTCCCTTAATCCCTCCTTCCCCCACTCCCTTCCCTCCTTGCTTCTTTCCCTCCTTCCCTCATCCTTCCCAGGGGTCAGTCCTGTGTTTTGATCTGATGGCTCTCCTATCACCCTCTGTTTCCTTCTCACTGTCCCTCCCCAGTGTTTTCACCAATAAATCTCTTATCCAGTGTCACCTGCTTGCCAGAGAACCTGGACTAAATCATTATTTAACTAACTTGCTTTGCATGTGTAATTTAGGATCAAACATCACTCTGAACTTCAGGGGCAAATATCATTCCTTAGAAGGGGAAGACCTAATGACGGAAAAAAAAAATATGTGCATTTTGTGGATCAGTTGACTCTGTTGACCTAAACATGCGGAACAATATTCCAGTTCTTAATACTTTAAAATCTCTGGAGCAAGGCCTTATAGCTTGGAAGGAAACTATTGGAAGAGCCAAAAGGAAAGAAATGGGACCAGCCAATTCTCCTCACTTTAGGTGCAGTGCAGTGAACTTAGGGAGGAGATCGTGCAAACTGGAAACCATAGCCCTGTCTCATGGCTTAACTAGGGGTGGCTAGGGCTCTGAGAGGCAGGTTGTCACCTCATTATCTATCCAGTCATGCACACAGTGAAGTCCATGGAGCACTCACTCTATGACCAGCACTGGTGGACCTTGAAGATAACAGAGGTTATCCTAGAGAAACTCAAGTCTACGGGGAGGGTAGGCTTGGAAACAGACTCATGATACAATACAAGCCCTAACACTGAGATGTGAACTGACTTGGGAAGTATGATAAGGACACCTCCAACTACCTGGCAGATGGAAAGGCATTTAAAGTGGAAATTGAAGGACGGAAGAGTTGGTCAGACAGTGAAGAGAAGTGACATGAAGGAGCTGCATTCACAGACAGCAAAATAGATACATCTATAGTCTTTTCTTCTCCTTCTCCTTCTTCTTCTTTTTTCAGACAGGGCCTCACTCTGTCACCCAGGCTGGAGTGCAGTGGTGTGATCACCGCTCACTGCTGCCTTGACCTCCTGTCCTCAAGTAATCCTCCCACCTCAGCCTCCCAAGTAGCTGGGACCTCAGGTGCATGCCCCCATGCCCAGCTGATTTTTATTTTTATTTATTTTTGGTAGAGATGAGGTCTCCCTATGTTTCCCAGGCTAGTCTTTGACTCCTGGCCTGAAGTGATCCTCCTACCTCAGCCTCTCAAAGTGCTGAGATTACGGGTATGAGTCACTGTGCCTAGATTTTCTTTTTTTAAACATTGAGATCCTAAGAAACAAATTCGCAATCTTTTAAGGGATCTCTGGGGCCCCACAAGATGCTTCTGCCTGCCGCTTGGCACTGGGCTTGCTGGCCTTGGGGCAGGCACTTGGCCTTCTCTCCCTCCTCCAGGATGTCCAGTTTCTCCACACTCATGCTGTTGATTCAGAAACTCTTCACCCAGCCCAGACCGTGGACCAGACATGGGGACGACATGAGCAAGACAGACACGATCCCGGCTCCCCTGCATCTTGTATTCTGATGGGAGAGACAGAAGATAACACAAGGAAAAATGATAACAGATGATGTTATGTGATGAGGACAATAAGCCAGTAACATGATGGAGAGGATGAGGACGACTACTTGAGAGTGTGTGCTCACAGTCTTCCTGCTGAAAGGCCCCGTAGCCTCCTCGCATTTCAGTGATCCCAAGTTTAGTGTCTTGGAGTAAATGGTGTGGTACCACCCTGACCTCGAATGTTATCCTCAGCAGGTTAAAGTCCGATTAGGAAGGTGTTTTTGGCTGGGCACAGTGGCTCACGCCTGTAATCCCAACACTTTAGGAGGCCAAGGTGGGAGGATTGCTTGAGGCCAGGAGTTCAAGACCAACCTGGGCAACGTGTTGAAACCCTTGTCTACAAAAAATTTTAAAAATTAGCCAAATGAGATGTGGTGGCTTGTGCCTGTAGTCCTGGCTACTCAGGATCGTTCGAGACCAGGAGTTCTCTTGTCCTAGATCTGACTGCTCAGCTCCCCATCAAGCTGGGTCCTCTGTCTTTGTGATATGCCATGAATGGCAGTGGTGGTGATTTTAAGAACTGATTTTTAATAATAAATTTTATTATTATTGGGTGATATGGTTTGGCTGTGTCCCCATCTGAATCTCATCTTGAACTATAGTTCCCATAATCCCCATGTATTGTTTGAGGGACCCGGTGGAAGGTAATCAAATCATGGGGGCAGTTACCTCCATGCTGTTCTTGTGATAGAGAGTAAGTTACCACAAGATCTGATGGTTTTATGTGCACTTTGCTATGCACGTCTCCCTGCTGCCACCATGTGAAGAAGGACGTGTTTGCTTCCCCTTCCACTATTATTGTAAGTTTCCTGAGGCCTCCCCAGCCCTGTGGAATTGTGAGTCAATTAAACCTCTTTATAAATTACCCAGTCTCTGGTGTGTCTTAATTAGCAGTGTGAGAATGGATTGGGAAATAAAAGTAAAATACACTGGGGAAAAAACATAAAAACAGATGTTTTATAAAGAAAGTTTCATCTATAATAATTTCAGCAGTGGCTCTTTGTGGTTTGAATTATATCACAGAGTCACTTTTATTATAAAGGTTTTTATTTTTTTAAATAAAAATCTCTTGAGCATCCATAGTACATTCCAGGTGCAAATTTCTATTAAGGCAGAAAAGGAGAGTAAAGGAAGTATAAAATATGCTCTCGCATACATTAAAGAATTTATAATACAGCTGTAGACAGATCTCCTAGGGCTCGAATCAATGTTTTAATCATGAATGAAGGCAAAACACACATGGAGATAATCAGAAATTAGATAAAACCCTGTCTATTCAACCTTGGTGTCAGCCCCGCCTCTCTGAACCCTCCCAGGAGCTGTTGAAAGCCTGAAACCCCCACTTTCCAGGCTCCCCAGTGCACAGGGAGGCATCTGAGAGGCGAGTGGTGGATGGAAGACTGGGAGGAACTGTTCTTCCCCAGAAACACATGGACATCTGCAGAGGCAGACAGCTGACACTGGTGTGGGCCCGAGGTTTTTGATGGTCCTCTGAGAATCACCCATATCAGTGCTGAGGATCGGTGGTGGCTTCTCTGTGATCCCTGTCTTCTGCCATTCCTGCCTTTTTTATCTTCACAGGTCATATAAGTCCCTAGTTCCCAATAATAAACTCCTTATTCAAGTTTCTTAGGTTGCTCTTATTTTCCTGACTAATGGAATGTGACTCATCAGTGTGTGTGTGTGTGTGTGTGTGTGTGTGTGTGTGTGTGTGTGTGTGTTGTTTGTTTTTCTGAGGGCCAGAGTCTCACTTTGTTGCCTAGGCTGGAGTGCAGTAGCATGATTGTAGCCCATTGCAGCCTCAAACTCCTGGGCTCAAGAGATCCTCCCACCTCAGCCTCTGAAGTGGCTAGGGTTACAGGCATGCACCACCATGCCCCACTAGTTTTTGTGGGTTTTTGTTTGTTTGTTTGTTTGTTTGTTTGTTTTGAGACAGTCTCATTCTGTTGCCCAGGCTGGAGAGCAATAGCGCAATCTTGACTCATTGCAACGTCTGCCTCCCTGGTTCAAGCAATTCTCCTGCCTCAGCATCCAAGTAACTGGGATTACAGGAATCTGCCATCATTCCTCCCTAATTTTTGTATTTTTGTAGAGACGGGGTTTCACCATGTTGGCCAGACTGGTCTTGAGCTCCTGACCTGAGGTGACATGCCTGCCTCGGCCTCCCAAAGTGCTGGAATTACAGGCATGAGCCACTGCACCCGGCCTTTTTGTTTGTTCTTAGTGACAGAGTCTTGTGTTTCCCAGGCTGGCCTTGAACTCCTGGTTTCAAGTGATCTTCCTGCGTCAGCCTCCCAAATCGTTGGAATTACAGATATGAGCCACTGTGCCTGGATCAGTTTCTTAGTTATTTGTCACGTATACGGTATTTACTCTATATGAGCCATGCACACTGCTTTACAAATAGGAACAAATGCAGTCCTCATAATAATCCTAAAAGGTAAGTACAATTATTTTTCCCTAACAGAAACAGAGAGATTAAATAACATCCCTAGGTCACGGAGCTAGCTAGTAAGTGCTGGAACTGGAACTCAAACCCAGTATTTTGACTCCAGAGTCCGTGCTTTTATTCTTATAATTTTTGCAAATAATGCCTGTGAGAATGTATTAGTCTGCTCTAGCTGGTGAGGGTGTGAAGACACTGGGCTTCTTGGGCACTGGTGGTGGAAATGTCAAATGATGCAGATGTATGGAAGTTCCTAGAAAAATTAAAAACAGAATTACCATGTGATCCAGCAATTCCACTCCTGGGCATATACCCT